AAAGACTTGAGCGAGGGAGCCAGTAAAAAGATAGCAATGCACTGGCGAAAAAAAACGCATTTAGAACTGAGGTATTTTCTATTTTTTTTTTTTATTACTAAAACGTTACAAAAACGCCAATTGAAAGGTTTGTTTATAGGATAATTAAATAGTTTAATTTCATTTAATTTCTGAATAAAATTTGATTTTGTTTTTATGGTTATAAAAATTGTATTTAATGTCCATTATTATTCCTTAAGCCTTTTTAATTTTTTTTAAATAAAAAATTTTCTAAGTGTAAGATTGGAGTGCGGAAAGCAAGAACGGAATTGCAAGAGGAACCGGGGAGGGAAAGCGAAAGAGACAGGAACAGGGACAGCAAAAGAGACAACAACAGAGCAGCTTACAAGCGCATTTCGATTATTGTTGATGTAATCATAATTTTTCATTTCCAAAGTAAACGATACCAGGCCACGCCCCCTCCCCTTTCACCAGCCCCTTTACCATTCCCTTGTTCAACGCATAAAGAATCGACGAGAATTAAACGAACTTTTCATTTATTTACACGAAAAGCATGAGAAACGCGTTTAAAACGCGCACCGCGTCGATGATTTAAGTAAACAAACAGCAGGCGAAATGGGAAAAATGTACTTAAACGAAGTTTGGAATGCTCTAAGATAATTAATATTAGGGCTTAACTATTTAAAATAGAAAAAAATCGGTATAACAAAGGATCATGACCAAGAAATCGAGCTTTTTAAATATTTTATAAAAAAATATTTAATTATTTTAATAATACTTAAAACCAATTTTGTCAAACTTCTGGAACCCTTGAAAGTGATTTTAGAACTATGTGTTTTCTATGGCACCTACGATTTTTTTTATTATTTTCTTTATTTTAATTCAATGAGCAAGGTAGATATCACTGACTAGGAATTTTACGCTTTCAAACTCAAAGATATGATCCTCCATTTATAGGGTAGAATAAAACCAACAGCCAGGGGAGGCGGATGCCACACAGTGGGCGGGGCAGGATGACAAGGCCAGGCAGAGATTTTCGGTTTGGATCCGACTGCGGTCGCAAGGGGGAATTTGTGGGGGATCTGGGTGTGAAAGGGGAAGAGGCTGCCGACTGTCTTGCATCATTAATTACAATTTGAGCTGCACACGCAGAGCGGAGATTCGCTATTCGAGGGAATTCGCAGAGGGGATGGGGAAAGAAAAAACCGAGACAAGCTGCGAATAAAAAAGGGCAAGTAGAAAGCGTTACATAACCCAATCCTGGACGGTTTGCCCAGGAGCCTATATATATTGCTTTATATATCTCCGACACTCTGTGGCTGCGCTGACATTTTAATTGCACTGCATGACTCCCGTAATTCGGTTAATTAATCAACATTTTTTCGCTTATCAATATCGGAAAGAGTTTTTAAAGGTTCCGTTGCGAAATGGTTGTGGAAAATTGGCAGAATCAATTTCATAATTAGTCTTCTAAAAGCCGTAATTTGAAAGATATTAATTGCAAATAGAAATTATAGAAAAATTATGTTGCTGACTTTGTTTATCTTTAGGTTTATTATTCGTAAGATTTATCTAGAAAAAATGTACTGCAAAGAATTTGACTATTGTTTAAATTGTTTTGACTATTGTTTTATTTGTATTTTGGAAGTAGTTAAAAAGAACACTATTTTTACCCCTAATTTTGAAAACAAACCAGACTCTATAAATTGGTAAGCAAAATAAATAAAAAAACGCCTTTAAATATAAAAGTCTAAACAAACTCTTTTTTATGGTCCCTGATTTATTAAAGTTAACGTATGAGTGATATGCGTATGAGTGATATGCGTATGAGTGATATGCGTATGAGTGATATGCGTATGAGTGATATTCATAATAATAATTATCATAACCAAAAATCGTTCATAAAAATCTCTCGATTTTACACCGAATTTGGGACATCTGCAATTATGTGGCTTGACTTTTATTTCCCTGATATTACACCAAGGTGTTTAGCTTACGGCTTGTGATTTTAGGCCATTGTGATGGTGGGGCCTAACTAAATGCCTAAATTAGCATCGTTGCAACAGCTGAGCCATAAAATCCGCACACAAAGGCATTTGCGGATTGCATGTGGGTCAAAGTTGGGAAGGCGAAGGCGGTTAAGACGAAGGTGACGCGGGTCGGTAATTTTGCAGTAATTGAAACCATCAAAGCATGGGCACTTCCATTCGTGAGTGTGAGAGGGACGGCCAATTACAGGCACTACGATAATATTAATGTGGAGGCGGTCACCATTGTTGGGGACTCGGTCTTATCGCAAATGCGGCGAATATTATCTGCGATAATGAGAAAACTAATTGTGAGCTATGCAAATGTGGCAGCACCAGATGCACCTGTTTGTGTGGGTGTGTGAGTGTGCGTCACAGGTGTGTGTGGCTGGAATTACTAACACTATTCAAGTGTGAAAGCAATTAGATTTAATGGTTTATCGGGGTTCATTTGAATAAACGGAAATTGAAACCGCAACAACCGCAAAAGACCGAAAGTTAACAGACGTTCCTACAAAAGAAAACAAATCTCTTGAACGTCTATATTTAAAGATTTCTTATAAATAGCTAAAATTGTAACCATTATCAAAATTATTTTTTAAATATTGTAGGTTTTCTGTAGTTTTTAAATAAATCATCTAAAAGAACTAAAAATACTTTTTTCTTTTAAGTGCAACTCCTCAATTTTGCAGTCGCGCTGCAAACTGCAAGAGTTTTCGTATCAGCTGATTTACCTTCCCCCTGAAACTTAATGATTCCCCCCACCAAACTTCTCTTCAATTTGAAATTCAAATTGTTAGCTGTTGTTCTTGTTGTTGTTCAGAGGTGTTGAGAATGAAAATTAGTTGGGGAGAATTTCGAGACTTCAATCAACCGACTGAAAATTACAGGTGAGTGCGAACCGTGTGGACTTGACATTAACTGACAGCAGATTGAGGCACTTTTGTCACATTATCAACAATTCATTTGCAATTAGATTGGAGCAATTTGGGTTTGGATTCTCCAGCATTACTCACATACTGGATATGTTTAGTATTGGAATTTGCCGAATACCTAATACAATTCAATCACATGTACAGAAACCTAATAACAATTAATTAGAATAATTAACTAATGGCATGACCTTTCATTGGTAATGCTATAGCATTGTTTTTGGTTTAATTAAATAAAATAAGATTAATGTTTACTTACCCTTTTAAGATTCTTGAATTTATTATTTTCGAATGGTGAATACATTTTGTTTTACTTCTCTTAAAAAAAAACGTTAGACTTTGAAATTAAAAAAACAACATTGCTTTTAACTTCAATTATGTTGTTGCTTTATCTTATTTCTTATCGTTTTCTTCTTTACAGACACACGGATGAGAAATGCAAAGGAAACCGCAATTTTGATTAGATCTTGGAACGCGACCGAAAAGAAAAGGCCAAATGCCCTAATTGGCGTGGCTTTTCTTGGGTTTTCTAGCTTCACCTTTTGTTGGTTAGCACCTTCTAGTTTTTTCATCTCTTATTATCGATTTTTGAACCATTATAAGTAAGAGTTGTAGTTTTGACAGCCCATCACCTAAGCTAAATCTGCCACTATCTATTTTTTCACCTCTCTTTCACTTTCTCGCAGCGTCTCCATTATTGTGTAATTTGCGGTTCAATTACCTCTCTAATATGAGATGTCGATATTGTCAGGCTCTCCTCTCAATTCTCCTCCTCTCCCTAATCTATGTATGTGGGGTGTATGTATGTAGAGCTCCATTTACAGCTTGTAACTCGAATTCGTTAATTATTTTGACAGTCGAACATGTTGACAGAAGCAAAGCCAATGGAATGAGTGAAATGGAGAGAGGGAGAGAGATTGAGAAAGGCGAAGAGTGATTACACTACCAAGCGCTCAATGTTTTTTTATACTTTAGGCGCTCGATATAGTGAACTACTGGAAAATACTTTTATTTTTAAGAAATCATGTATTTTATTTTTGAGTTAATTTAAAGGAAACGTCTTAAATTAAATTTAAATGTTTTAACAACAAATAATGTACCTAAAAATGTTACAGGATATGTAAAATAGTAATAATAAAAATTTATTAAATTTAAAGCGTAAAACCAAACATTAAATATATGTACATATAAGTAAAATAGGGGTATAAACTTGTTGAGGAAGTCGAGTCTCCTCGTCAATATACAGACACCAGAGGTAACGACTTGAGGTCCTGTTGTGACCACATGAAACTTGCATGAGTCCTGCCTGTCCCTACGTCATCGACCTCCCACTCCGTAATTTGTATGGCAGCCACATCCATTTTGGCCAACCGCTGATTATGCCACATCCGAAATGGACATGTCAAATTAGCCGTGGGCATATCAACAAGAAGATATATGTATGTACATATGTACATATATGGTACACAGGCAGTCAAACGTCTTGAACTTCAATTTTTTTAATCCAATTGTAAACTAGTTGAATACTTTGCAAAAATTTGTAACATTAAAATTGTAACTTTGATAAATAATAAATAGTTTTTAATATTAACATTAAATTTCTTTATCCATTTTGTTGTATTATCAGAACAAACAAAATTATTGTGCTGCTTTACTTTTATTTAAATTTAGATAGTAGTATGCTTACTATAAAGTGAAGAGCACAAAAAGAAAAGGAATGTTAGAATTATATAGTTTATGAGTATAAGCCCTTTTTATTACTCTTAAAAATACTGTATTTTTAGATTAATAAAAATAAATACAAAAAATAGAGCCGGAACGAATTTAACAAGTTATCAATAAAGAGACTTAAACTAAAAAACCCCCTCTATTTTCTTGAATTGATAGGCCCATAAGTATGATTAACACAGAGCAATTTGAGATACGTACCAAAAGGGAACGAATCCGAGCTCTTGGTTATTATAAATTTCCGACTTAATAAAGCGGCGTTCTTATCAATTATGTACATATATATGTAAGTATAGCGCTCTTTGAAAGACAGAAAATAATTCCGGGATAAGTACGTTCCAAGTTCTCGGATATTGTGGTTGCAAAATTCAGTATGCTCAAGATCAGAACGTATTTTCTGTATGCATTCATTGCTTGGAATCTGCGTGGATGCCAATCGGAGGACCAGGATAATGCCCGATCTGTATGCCTCCTTCAAGATCCCCCAAATCAGTGCGGGGAATTCTGCCTTTCGGTACTGGAACCCCTCCTCGATCACATTGCCAAGCACCAGGAGCAATGGAATACCTCCGATGCCCTCAAACTAAATGACACCCAAGGAAAACTGGATCGGATACAGACCAGGATAGAAGCTCAAACAAGTTCCTTGGAAAAATCTTTGAAGAAAGTCCTGCCAGAGGACTTCAAGGAGAGACTGACCAGAATGGAAGTTCACCAGTCGGACATGCAGAAGTCAATGGGATTACTATTAGAGGTCCAGACCAGACTGGAAAAGGAGCAGAAATCCCAGCAGGTAACTCTTCGGAACATCATACCGGAGGACTTCGAGGAAAGGATGACATTGTTGCAGGAAACTCTTAAGAAAATTCCAGAGGACTTGGAGAAGAGACTAGAAAAAATGGAACAAAATCAAAAAGACCTGCAAAACAGTGTGAAAAACGAACAGCAAGAGGTGCAGTTAAAAATGGACAGTTTGCAAAGGTCCTTACAAGAAATAGGCAAGAACATTTCACAAGACTTCGAAGAGAGACTCGTTAGGATTGAAGACCAGCAAATTGCTATGCTAAACAAGATGGCCAATGACAGAGCAGCACTTCAGGAAACGCTGTCCAGAATTAATACAAAATTATTCTTTCCCAAATTCGAGCTCATTGGTTCTAGATACTTCTATATCGATAGCGATAGTAAAAATTGGGTTGATGCCGAATCTAGCTGTCGCGAAATGGGTGCCCATTTAGCCTCCATTAAGGACCAAGAGGAGATGGATGCCATTAAAGTTAAACTCACCAACGATCGTTACTGGCTGGGCATCAGCGATCGGGTAACTAATGGAAAGTACTTATCTGTGGCCTCCGGCAAGGAAGCCCCATTTTTGAAGTGGGGACCAGGAGAACCCAACAACGTGGAAAACAATGAGCACTGCGTTGAACTTCTTGATGGTAGCGTAATGAACGACAACAAATGCTCCGACAAATATCATTTCATTTGTCAGTCGGACACTGAATTTTAATTAGTTACTTTAGTTATTTGACTTTTGAAAGTAAACAAGATGTTTAATGACCTTTAATTGTTGTTTTTTAATGGATTTTATATTAAACTTACCCAAAACACTCGTCTTGGATTAAATGGTTATTTATTAAACACTCTTAAAGCTATTTACACAGATCGCGATTTATTAAACCCACTAACTGGGGGCCTGAGCAGCATTTCCCAGAGCAGCCAACCGAGAATGATTCCGTAGGCCAGCCAACCGAGGAGCAGCCGCCGATGCCGCCACTAAATGATGGAGATATCCCTGACCACATTATCAACCTGCTTTTGTCCAACATTGTGGCTATTGGCGATGAAATTCCGGCGTAAAGCGTTCCAATTCGGATCGGGATGGTCTTTTAGGAGGCTCCAGTTGGGCGAAGGGACATCTGGCGACAACCAGTTAAAATCCGCCACGTCCGTGTAGTTGTTCTGTGACTTATTGAGTCCAGAAGCTAGGTAATCGGCCTCTAGTTCCGGATAATCATAGTTAAACTCCCCGATCTCAATGTCCTTACAGTCCTCAATGATGGCGCGACAGGTGACATGCAGATAAATACGAATAATTCCGGATGAGTGCAATCTTAGCTGCTGGCAAGCAATAGACAGGGTGCACTCGTCCAGATTCTCGGCGAAAAAGGATCTCGCGATGGGGCCACATAGCAAAGTGCAATGCGAGGCCCGGGAAACCTGCACAGAACCCGGATGTCCTTGCAGCTCCACCAAACAATGACTTATATTCGAGATGGTGATATCCTGACCATTAACTTGTCTGGAATCCAGGACTAAGTGCTCGTTCTTTCGATTCTCTATGGTCCAGCTAAAGTTGGAGACCAATTTATCCGTCGTTTTAGTTAGCTTTGAATCAACTATATCCTTATTTTCAGATGATTTCAGCTTGGTAGCTGTCTTTTTGCCACTGAAACCAAACTTTTTTTTGGGCATCAGACGTTGGCGGGTCTCATCACTGACTGCAGTCAGGGTGTTTAGGATATTCTGACAGGATTTGATCTTGAAATCGGAGAGAAACATAGTGGAAGCGGTGAGATATCGCTGTAAATCCTGGATCTCCAGGGTTATGTCCGCAAAATTCCTGGCCAAATCCGGGGGCGGAGCATCGCCACATTGTATATCCTTCAATCGCTGCTCTATATCGATGGTCCTTTGCCGGAAAGTCTGGGAGAAGTAGTCAACGCCCTCGTTCTGCACAGATTCTTTGGAACGCTGCTCCGATTGCACATCCAAATAATTTTGCCTGTCCTTGTTCCTCTTGTTCAGTCGCTCAAGGACTGGATCCTTGCGATTTTCCGAATCGCCCTCCATGTTTGGTATTTCAATCTGTAAAGACAAATCTGGTTAAAAATCAATTTCCAGGGGGAAACTTCGTTTTAGGGCTTTGTGAATCACAGTTTTTGTTGTTGTTTTTCTTGGCCAGTTGCGCAGCTGCAGGAAAATGAAGGCGAAGTCGTAACCTTTCCTTTTGGGAATTCTCTTTCGCTTAGTTATTAAGCTGTGCACCTTACGAAACACTTAGTTTCCTTTTGTTTATTACCCTTTTTGTTTAATTTTCTATATTTTTTGTGCAGCTGCTCGCAATAACAAATGTTGCCTAACCAATGTGAATGACAATTTAGTATTTACTTAAAAATACCAAGGGCGCGTTAAGCAGTGTGGCAACGCTACGGTGATGGCTAAGATTGGAAGAAGAAGAAGAAAGTGCGCCAAAAACAATAATTTAAAATTGCAAAATATGTATTTCGTTTGAATTATAAGAAACTGAATAGATAACCAAAAAAAATGCAATTAATTTGATTGCGGGGAATACCTTCTATGCCCTTAAACCAAATGACACCCAAGAAAACTGGACGACAAGTGCTCCAGAAAAAAAGTTTAATTTGTCGGCTAACGAATTTTAATTAATTAAATAACTAAGTTCAATATTGTTGTTATTTCCAACTACTGTAGTTAATTAAATTTTGCGAGTAAATAAGTCGTAAACGTGATTAACGTTGTCGTTTTTTATCAAAAACTAAAATTAAAAAACCAAAAAACTTTCCTGTTTTCTTTTGCTTTTTATTTTCGATGAAAACTACAGGCAAACATTTTTAAGAAGCGGTAATTTAAAGGTGGCGGTGTTTGTTGGGTGTGTGTGTATTGCTTAATTGGCTTACAATTATCCAGTTGAACATATTTACAATTGAATTTAGTTAAATACATAAACGTAGTATGTAAAGTTATTTATATAGTTAAGTGTGTGGCTGATGTGTGTCCTATTGCGTGCAAATGTCCTAAAAAGCATTTGTACTTCTAACTTTTATCCTTTGTTAGCAACATTTCAACACTTAAGTACTAGAAAAGTATTAATGACATCTCTATTCGTTAGCTCTTTCCGCTCCTTATTTGGTTGATCTTAGTTACTTATTTTTGGGTTTTGCGTTTCCTCTGCATCCTGATTCTTTTTCCGTTTCCGCTTCTCGTTTAAGGCACATGACACATTCCTGAATATGATGTGCGTTTTATATAGCAGTAAATATTAGATATAACACGGTAAAACTATTGACTACACAATGATTTGAAATTCACTCGCAAGTTCGCGTTGGAATTTGTGCTCCATATTGGGGGGAAGTCTTCGTGGGACAGAACAAATTCCAATTCTACATTGCATATGACCAGCAAATGACTTAAAAAACTCTACCACGACCCGCAGATCGCGGGCAACAAAAAATTGTACACCAAATAAAAGTAAATTTCTCGGAAATGTTTTCGCGCATCTTCAATATAGATCGTGAGATCCTTCTTATATAGATCATGAGAGCTCGCCGATGGGAGCATTCTGCAGCCACAGATCGTGAATGAAGTTGTACAGATTATCGCTGACGGCGACCTGGAAAAGATTGAAGGAAATTTAATTATATTTTTGGAATAAGAGCTATGAAGAGTCTCCTCACCTTATAGGGCGTTGGGTTGAGTGTGCGCTTGTGATCATTCCGCAGCGTCTTTAGTGAGATTTGGACCTTCTCGCGGACCTGCTCCAGGGTGGGCAGCTGCTGGCAGATCTTGCCCGACTTCCAGTACACCTTGTACAGCGATTCCACGTGCGAGGGTATCACGTATGCGCGCTTCGACTCCTGGAAGGGATGGCGGCACAGGACCTTCTGGCTGACTGCTGGAGGCGGCTCCGATACCTTCTGCAGCAAATCGATCAGGGCGTGTCCATCGGCACTATACAGACGGTATGCGTTCTTGTTGCCCGGCATCGTCACCTTCTCCACGTCCTGGCTCAGTTTGATCCTCGGCTGGCCGTTGATCTCCACCAGTTTGTACACACATCCCAGGGCCGGCTGACGCTGGCAGGTAACTAAAGAGACAATTTAAAAGTGTATATTAGTAAGCTTTAGAGATCCGGAGTTATCTTTAGTGCACTCACCCAAATGCGTGCCAATGCCAAAGCAATCAATCTTGTGCCCCTGCTCATTCAGGCTCAGAATCGTGTCCTCATTGATGTCGTTCGATGCCACAATGGTCAGCTTGTTGAACCACGGAACCTTGAATCGCTCCGCCACCTTCTCGAAACTTTCCCGCGCCAGGCAGGATAGGTAGGCCAGATCTCCGGAATCGATCCTTATGCCTAGTGCATGATAACCCAAGTCGTTTAGGGCCAAAGCCACGGCACTGAAATTCAGCAGTCCACTCCTAAAGAAAAGAAAATAACGCCACATAGTTAGTGATCACATTAACAGTCCCCATTAAGTGCTGCTTGGTTTTTTGGTTTTCAATTCAACAAAATATTTAACTCATTTTACTATACAATATTTGGTTTCTTTTTCGCCACTAAGTTTAAAGCCAGAATTACACAAAAACAAATGTTTGGAAAGTGTGGTGGAGCTAAAAAACGTGTTTGAGAACCAAAATGGGTTCCTTTCGATTTGCAAGTGCGGCTTTTGGTGTTGGAAAGTTCAGCCTGGGCAAAATTTATTATTTTCTTAATAGAGGGCAGCACAAAATGTCGAAGATTTTCGGTTTTTGTTTTCAAGCCATGCAGTGTGCTCTCTCGGACGCTTCTTTTTTTTTTAACTATGTACAGGTTATAGAACTAACGAAAAAATGTTTTGAAAAATTGTCAAAAGTCATTCGTTGGTTATAAAATATTTTTCAGAATTAATCTCTGAAAGGAGAAAAGATATAACAATCAAAAATGGGGGACGGTAAAACAAGAAAACTGAAAAATTTAATAAAACTAAAGCAAAATCGTTTGTGAGCTGGGGACGAGGACAGTTAAAACGGGGTTACGTCTATGACAGCATTATTGTGAATCCGTGCTTGATTCCGCTTCGGTTTGTGGTTTCATTTGTGTGCTTAAAACAATGTTGAATAATTAAAACATTTATAAAGGCATGGCTAATACTTTACTTTACGTTTCTTTAAAATTATCCAATAAGCATTATAACTTTTATAGTTCGTAAAACGTTTAAAAAAAAAACAATTTGAACGTTCAAGAAACAAATTTTTAGTTATTCATTTAATCATTTTAATTTTCAGTGCACTTTTTAGTTAACTATTTAAATTGTTTTATGCACATTGTTATGTATGATTTAGAGGAGCATTTATCACTTATGAAGGAACATTTTTTGTTGTATTTTTTGCTTTCGAGTGTGAGTATATGCCATATGATATTTTAGTGTTTGGTTTATATCATGTTGTTGATTGTTCGAATTTTTCTGGTTTTTTAACTTGAATACGTGTGTTTTACATACCTCTGCCAAAATAGTGCCGGAAGTCATTTGTTTACTATGTTAGATTCGTAAATTCTTTTCATTTTCGTTTTTTCATGGTTTTCTGATTCGGGTTCGATTAATGGATTTCGGTTTTATTTGTTTCACATTCACATTTAAGACGAGAAAATAAAAAGCATAATAAACAAAATTGAGTTAGAAAAGTAATGCTAAACGGAAAAATGTAATATGATAATTGAGCGTGTTAGTAGAAATTGTGATAGACAAACATACACAAAAGAAAGTTAGAAAAGCAAGAGGGAGAAAGCAAATAATTAAATGAAATTAATTGACTTCACCTGTTCTGGAAGTTTTGTTCTATATTTTGCCAGAATTCCTCCTATTTTTAAGGAATGACTTGGGGACCAATTTCGTAACACCAAAGCAGAGGACACATACATAGACATATAGTCATATATTAGCTTAAATATAAACATATATATTCATGTATATGGTGGTTATAATTTTAAATTTTGTAGCTAAATTTAAGTTATATATATTTCCATGTTAACATGCAGGCTTACATTAGGAAAACTTAAGAATTCGAAGCATTAAATTATATATTGGTAGAGCTAGCAAGAAATGGATTATTTTGTTGATGAAATAACTTAGTCATTAAGCATGCTCATCAAAAATTAAAAAGTAAATTAATTTTTTGCCAGCTCCATTTATTAATATTTGACGTAAAATAATGATAGGGAAAAAGGAAGCAGCAGAAGAAAAATAGTATTAAGAATGCGAATGTAGAAAATGATTAGGTTAGTTGAAATGAAAATGGAAAGGTTTTTCTATAAGAAATTCATTTAAATTAATTTTTCTCCTATTATAATTTTCTTTTGGTTTTTCTGTTACTCAATAGATGGACTTTTTTCGATAACGACATTTACCTGAATGACTTCTCGACATATTTTGGTAGGTATGCCGTCCCATTGGACACTGTTGTTGTCTTTAAAGTTGCTTTTGTTGTTGCAGTTGTTGTCGTAGTTGTTGTGCTGGTTTTAGTATCTTGTATCTTTGTATCTTTTGGCGATTTACCACCATTCTGAGCAATACCATTCTGATGGCCATTGGTCTTGTGCCCGTTTATTTGGCCATTAATTTGACCATTTTGATGGCCATTGGTCGATGGCTTTAGCTTTGGCGGACTGTTCTCAGTTTTGATTTTACTGATAAGCTTTGGTTCTGTGTTGGTTTGTTCTGTTTCTCGGCTGTTGGATAATACTTTGGATTATTACTCAAACGAAAAACCAAAAATAAACACTAAGAAATGATTGGGAAAAACAGGTGAACTTAAAAATTCATCGTCGATGGATGGGATTTTTTATATTGGTAATGTTGACTGATTAGCTGTTTAATAGTTACTCTGGTTGGGTTTTTTTATCTGGCTGGTGCACGTCTCGAGAGTCTCAAATACAATACAAAATAGTTCAATGAAATGCATACTCAAAATAACGAGGGGAAAAAATGGGTAACCAGGATAGTTACGGGATAACAAAACAAACGAAGGAAAAACCGAAAACTAAAACTGTTCCGAGAGAATCTGCCTAAAAGCGAAATACCTCTTAACATCGTACGTATCGACAAGGGCCATGAATCCGTCAGGGAATGCGATGGCATAGGATACCATGGCTGCCAGTTCTCCCTCACTGGATTCCTCAGTGGACACGTCCAAGAGATGGGACAGCATCGCCCGGTGCCTAATAGCGTGCTCCAGAAGATCCTCCATTATGCCTGTAATATATAAGAATATCAA